TGGATATGCCCCCTCGCAGCGCGCGGTCCCGAGCCCCAGCACGGCCCGCTCGCCCCAGAGCGGGCCAAGGAGATTTCCAGGTCCAGATGAGAAAGATCTCGACCAGACAGCGAACTCCAGAAAGGAGCCGCGCTGGCCTGAGGCTTGTGCCACTCCACAGGCCCCCGGCGCGTGCCCAGGCGCGTGCCGAGGCTGGAACGCATCGACACCACTGTCTTTGCTTCCCACACCCCGCGCGGCCGCCCTCGTCCTTGTCCCTTGCTTGCATGACGGCCAATTTGCCATTCGGTTGCCCCGAACTGCCACACGATGGAGCGGAGCGCCTCTGCCTCGCCGCCAACGAAAAAGCTTGCTTCCCATACCCAGGACCCAGACATGCGACGTCCTGATTTTTTCAGGACGGCGTCCCTCGAAGTCTTGACCCTTTCCCTGGGACCAGTCTTTCTTCTTGAGTAATTGTTTGACGGTCCCGAGGCCCAGCGAGGGCCCCCCCGGGGCCGAGAATAGCCAAAAGTCTCCCGTCGTGTTTTTTGCACGACGCGATCATGTCTGGGGAGCGACCTTGGACTCGCGGGGCGGTGCGGCCACCAGGCCGTGCGGAGACGCCCGCTCGGTGCGGTGGCCTGCGCGCCCAGGCGGGGCAGAGCGCTGCGAGGATGCCTGACCGGGAGCATTGGAGAGGGGCTAGCCTACAGTGCGCTGCCCGCTCCTAATCTGCAGCCCCTTTAGCTCTCAGAGAGCTATCCGGGAACGACCTGCTCAGGTCAGAGCAGTTTTACGACCTGCTCATGATGGGCCTTTTTTCCACCACCACCATAAGTTGGAGGGGGGAAGGAGGTGGAGGACGAGGAGGAGGAGCAGGAGCAGGAGGAGGAGGACGAAGAGGAGGAGGAGGAGGAGGAGGAGGAGGAGGAGGAGGAGGAGGAGGAGGAGGAGGAGGAGGGGAAGGAGGAGGACCCCCTCCCCTCCAACTTATGATGGTGGTGGTGGAAAACAGGCCCATCATGCTCAGGTCGAAGCTGTGGGGCGTGCGGGCGGGCGGGGCCCGGCGCCACGAGCTGGGCCTGCCCGAGGCCCAGCGTGGGGCGCAGAGTTAGCCGCGGGATCCGCGGCGCGTCGGCGGCGTCGCGGCGCCGCTCCGCGCCCGCCCAGGGGCCCGCCGTGCCCCTCGGGCGGGCGCGGCGCGAAGAAGAGCGAGGAAGATCGAATAACATCGAAGAAAATCATCGAATGGTAGATAAGAAGATCGAATACTAATATCGAGTAATACCGAAGATGATCGAATCTGATCGAAGAAGCAGATCGAAGGCGGCTGAGGTGTATAGATCGAAGAACATCGAAGAAGGAAAAGCACCATACACATAATCATAAGCTTGTGGCGCTCCGCGTCGATATCTTGGATCCGCGCTGGGCCCCCCCTGGCGAACTCTGCGGCGCCGCCCCATGGCGCGCTCCGCGCGCCAGGGAGGGGTACCCATCGCAGATCCAAGAAATCCGCGCGGAGCGCCAACAGTTTATGTTTATGCAGTTTTCCGATTTCCTTCTACTAAAGGCGCCCCTGGCCCAAGGTGCCCCCTGCTTGTGGTTTGAGTTTGGAGCCTCTGGGGCCCTCTGGGCCTCGTGAGGGGTGCTCTGGAGGCCGGGGGGGTCGCTTTCGAATTCCTGGGGGCACCTTGGGCCAGGGGTACTTCTAGCAACACCCGAGGAGAAGAGTTGCGGGGAGGAGGAGGGCAGCATCGAGGCGAGGGCAAAGATCCCTGTTCGGGCGTCGTTTTCGGGCGCAGCATTCGAGTGCGAATCGGGACTTGGTGCTGCTTCTCTCTGTTTGCTCGTTTTTGTTGCTCATTGATGCGGGAGGCTGTGGCTGCGTTCAACTGGTTCAAGAGAGTAGCATAGAGGCGAGCCAAATGAGGGGGAACAGGATCGGGTATACATAGCCAGGGCCCTAAGAAATAGGAGCGGGTTAGTGATAGGGCCCTAAAGCCCAAGAACCTGTCGGAACTGCTGAACGCGGTCAGGAGTAGCTTGTGCGTTTTCGTGTGACGGCAGTTCTGGTCAGTGGGATCTGGGGTGGGGAAGGCGCCCCCAAGTACACATCACTAAACACGGTGCCACTATACCCAGTCCAGCCGATGCCCGACAGGAGGAGAAGAGTGGACGAGGAGGACAACGAGAAGACGGGGAACAGAAGAGGGGAATTGCGGAGAAGGGGGAGGACGAGAAGGAGGACAAAGAAGAGGAGGACAAGGAAGAGGAGGACAATGAAGAGGAGGAGGAGAAGGAGTAGGAGGAGGAGGAGGAGGAGGAGGAAGAGTACCTTCTCCTCCTTTCCCTTCTCCGCCTCCCCCCTTCCGCCCGCCGCATGCATGCTGCGAAAGATCGAGCAGGACGATGACCTGGAGGATCGAGGACGGCGTTCCAGCTACACTTCCCTGTCTCAGCAGCCTCCGACTGTGAATATCATAATTGTTCTACGTATCCTCGTTCATCGCTCTTGCCTTCTCTCATGTTTGCACTTGCTCGCTATGGGTACCACATTACTCTCTCTCTCTCTCTCTTTTTTTCGGTCGGCTTGCCCTTGCCGCTCCCTCAGATGTGCATTGCATGCGCAGCATTCCAAACGTTGCTCTGTGTCCGAACCCCCTGTGGTCTGGCACTCGCCTACTGGCAAGCACGCGCGCGACCCAGATCAACCCATTATGTAGCGGATGGCACATGACTCGTGGTTGCATCAGTTTTCACGTTCCGGGCGGAACCGGTTGATAACGAGCATCTACGCCAAGCTTTGATTATTTGATATGTTGCAGCACGTCTTCAAAACGCTTGCTTCCTACATGTCTTTCGGTTGAGCCTTTCTCAGGCACCTTTACTTTGGAAGCACTACCACCTCTGCCACAGCCTGAATTGGGCGAGATGCGTGCGCAGGCCACAACTGGCAGCATATTTGTATTGTTTACCGTCGGCGTGTCCAGCGCTTCGCGAGTGCAAACCGGGATGGGCACAGCTGACGGGCAGGACAGGGATATGAGGATGTGGAGGAGAAGGAGGAGGAGGAGGAGGCGTTGGTGGAGCGTGTGGCGTGGTCGGTGCCATCACGGCCAAGGGCCTTGGGGCTCCTCCTGGGAAGCTTTGGCCGAACTTTTCGAAGCATGGGCGCGCGAGGATGCTGGGCGTCCTCCTCTTCATTATCCCCTCTTATTCCTCCTCCTCCTCCTCCTCCTCCTCCTCTTCCTCCCCCTCCTTCACCCTCTCACCCTCCTGCCCTTCTGTCATTCTCATCGTGATGCTCATCCTCCTCGCCATCTTCCCCCTCACCTCTTGACATGCACACATTACGAATACTATTATCATCTCTCCCCTGACCCTGTCCAGGAGATAGCTGGCCATCTCCGCGTACGGATTTTGTGCACACACTGGATTTCAACAATTGGTGGTGCCTCATGGTTTTTACGATCCGGCCGATGTCGTTGTTTCAAATGGTGTTCTCGCTGCTGGGCCTCATTTCTGGATCCGCGCTTTACTCCAGTCGTTCAGAATGGCGCTGTCGCCCCAGCGCGGGTCGCGTTTCCATGTTCGAAGCCTTTTTCATCGTTGACGCCCCCCGTATTTCCCCGCCTCTTCCATTCCATCTCTTCGTGTTGTTTTTCGTGCTCGTCCTTCTCCTTCTCAGTATCCTCTGTTTTCTCCTTTTCATCCTCCTCGCGCATCCACCACCTCGTCTTTCAACGTACGCAGCTCCATATTGTTCCCATTTAAAACGATGGGATCCCCTTTGACATTCCAGGTCCGCAATGACACGCGTAGGCGGGTGCAAGGCAATGGGAAGGGATGGGTGGGAGGGGTAGGATGTTAGATGTATCGCGAGCACGCTTAGCTTGATGCCCCCCTCTCTCTCTCTTTCTCTCCTCCCCCTCATCACGCCCCCCTCCACCCCACCCTCCTCCTTACTCTTGCTCTCCGTCATCCTCATCCTCCCCATCGCCCTTTTTCACATCCTGCTCACCACCGTCGTCTGCTGACACTGGTGCGCTGCACACGTCATGGACTGGGCGGGCAAGTGGACAAACGCAGCCCTTCGACGGCGGTACCGCCAGCCGCCGCCAGCCGTCCTGGTGCTACGGCCACGTTGTCTGCAGTGCCGTAGACGCGTTACGAGTGGGATCCCATACGTTCTCCGAAAGACAGGCAGTGGAGCGGTCAGAGTATGAGGATATGAGGGCGGAGAGAAGAGGGTACATAGAGAAGAGGAGGAGGAGGAGGAGGAGGAGGAGGAGGAGGAGGAGAGGAGGAGGAGGAGGAGGAGGAGGAGAGGAGCAAGAGGACAAGGGGAGGAGGAGGAGGAGGAGGAGGAGGAGGAGGAGGAGGAGGAGGAGGGGGAGCGGGAGGAGGAGGAGGAGGAGGAGGAGGAGGAGGAGGAGGAGGAGGAGGAAGGTGGTAACGGAGGAGGACGGGGGAGGACAGAAGAAAATGAAGGAAGGCGGAAGTTGGCATGAGGAACGCGAAGAGCAGGAGGAGGACTGAGGAGAGCGGAGGAAGGCTGAAGGATTACCATGACAACGATATGGAGTTGGGATGAGGTTGGGGAGCGAGGAGGGGGAGGAGAACGGGGGGGGGGGGGGGAAAGGAGGAGAAGAAAAAGAAGAACAGTGGAGGAGGAATGTGGGGAGCAGGGAGGTTAGGGGAAAGGAACGGAGAGAGCGGCGTCGGCGAGAAGCTCTCGCCTTGAGATGTTTCGCAGGAGGGCCAGTTGAGGCCACCACCATTCCCCCCCCACAACGAGGGGGCGGGATTGCCTCCCTCCCGCCCGAACGAGGAGGAGGAGCACAAAATATGTAGCACGGGTAAGAGTGAGGGGGCAGGCGCGGGGTGGGTCGCGGATGGGTCGCAGGGTGGGTGGCGGGTGGGTCGTGGGTTGGTCGCGGGTGGGTCGCGGGTCGGTCGCGGGTGGGTCGCAGGTGGGTCGCGGGCGGGTCGCAGACCGGGTCGCGGGCGGGTCGCGGATAAGCTGCGGGTGAGCCGCGTGTTGGTCGCGGGCCGGGTCGCGGGTGGGACGACGACAACAAACAACAAACAACGAACAGTTAACCGCTAACAACAAACAACAAACAACACATAGCACCACACAACATTCAACACACAACAAACAACACACAACAACCAACAAGCAGCAGACAGCAAACAACACCAACCGCTACAGCAACAACAACACCAACAACAACAACAACAACACCAGCAACAACAACAACACTTTCAGTAACAGCACCAACAACACCAACAGCTACAGCAACTGCAACGGCAACAACACCAGTAGCAACAACAGCAGCAACAACGACAGCACCAGCAACAGCAGCAGCACCAGCAACAACAGCACCACTCCGCATCGCGGAAGCCCATGTCAGCCACGCTTCCAGGGACAGTCAATGACCGATCGGCCCCATCATTCTGCATAGGACATGGAGTGCGTACGAGTCATCAGAGGAAGCGTGCTGATAGTAAGAACAAGACGAAAAAGACGACACCGACGGCGACGACAACGACAGCCCTCCCCGTACCCCCGCCCGGCACCACCGCACCGCCTGCGCTGGTGGCGGCGCGCCCTGACAGCGAGGCAACCAAGCGCGCGAGAGGAGGGGGTGCCGGTGTCTCGGCTGGTCTCCCCAGGGGCCTTGGCGAAGCCTCCCTCGCAGTGCGGCTCGCGGCTCAGGTCCCCTGCGGCCTCCGCAGGCAGGGTCAGAGGGTCCGCGCCTGGGGAGCGAGGGCACCCGACGACGACGATGGCGAAGATGAGTAGCGAGGACAGCGCAGCACGACGGCGGCGGCCTCCTGATGCACGCTCGCAGCGAGGACGATGACGATGATGGCAATGACTAGCGTCGTGGGGCAGGGAGGGAGGGAGGGAGGGAGGGAAGTGGGGGGGGGTGCAACTTCACCGCGCAACCCCTGGCTCCGACGCCTCTTCTCCCGAGCTCCTGGGGGCCCACGCCCCCACGCCGCCCGTCGGCCCAGCTAGCCCGGTGAGGCCAGCTGGCCGACCCGCCAGGCGAGAGACGGGTCGGAAGCAGGCGGTGCGGGCGTCACGCTGCCGAGCAGCACGACGCCCATGCGCCCCGGCCCGCTCGGACGTGCCCCCGCCCGGCGGGGCCCCGCGGACGTGCGTGAAGGGCACGCAGCTTGGAGCTGGGGTCATGAACGAGCACGGGCAAGTGCATCCGGTCGGGCACTTCTCCCTTGTGCTCCTGCGCCGTGAGGGGCGCTCCAGAAAGGGCCGCCCCATCGGCAGTCGAAGGCGTTGACGTTCCGTGCTCGGCGGAAGGCCCCCGCCAGGCGGCGGGAGGAAACTTGGGGGCGTCTCGTATGGCGGAAGGCTCGCGGCAATTGGCGCAACTGAAGGATGCGCCCTTTTTTTCAGTCCGCGGGCGCCAACTGGTCCAAGGCAATCAGACGCCGGTCAGCAAGCGGTGGGGTGCATTGGAGGCGAAGTGAGGCAAGAAGGCGACAGAGGAACAGAGCGCGAGAAGAGAAGACGAGGAGGCCACAAGAGATGTCAACCATTTTGGGATGCAGGGGTTCCGGAACGGACCATTCAGCAGACGGGTCCTGAGACAAGGTCCTTCAGTTCTGTCGCCGCTTTCGGGCTCTGGTGGGTCTTCGCGGGCCCCAGGCGCGCCGACAAAGACCACTCGGGATGAACAGCTGGTCCGGGGGAACGCCCCGCGGGGCCCTGGCCCGCTCCGCGCGCCAGGGAGGGGAGTCCACCGCCGATCCGAGGGATCCTCGCTGGCCTCAGAGAAAGTATGTCCATGGCTCGTTTTGCTTCTCGGTGTTGAATTTCGGAGGTTGGGATATTGCTCTTCGCTGCACGCGATTGCGCGGGACGCCCCGTCAGCACACCAGCGTCCTTGTCTTCGCGAAACCGTTGTCGCGTTTTGTCGCACGATTTTCCGTGGCCTGGCATCTGTGTATTGCGTGTTTGTTCTGTGCGCATGCCATCCAGCCACACGTCGTGGCGATGGCTTCCCGACGAAATGTCTGAAAGTATCGCGTTGTCGATTTCTCCGCCCCGAATATCCGTCTCACGTCTCGGCAGTTAAACGTGACACATACGAAATTTGTTGTTGGTTACGCACTGGCCTCCTTAGTTTATGATGCATCCGTGCTTCCATAGGTCGGCTGCATTACAATGCAAAGCTCACTATTTTACTGCGCGCGAGTGTGCCTGAGTTTCTCAGTCGCCCATAGCATGTCCAACCTATCTGCCCCATGTGCGCAAGTGAGCTTATGAAAATTGTTTCATGCACCTGCCTCCGTGATGACGATTTGTTCCGCTGGATCATCCGTTACCAACGTGGTCTGATATCCCACCGTTCTAGCTCACGTGATCAACGCTCCTCGTTGTTGTCTTGATCTCTGATGTTGTCTTCAGCAGGTGATTCGTTTCGTCGGTCGCTGATTTGCTCAAGTACGGTCATATCTACTGCCTGCCACGTATGCATCGTTGTATTCGTGTAGGTTCACGGCCAGCCGCTGGGGACATGTAGATCGCCCAGGCAAGGCGTATGGTAGGCCTAGGGATAGGTTCCAGGGTAGGACTAGGGTCGGCCTAGGGATAGGTTCTAGGGCGGGCCTAGGGTAGGCCTACACTAGGGCTTACCTGTAGGACTAACTACCCGAGGCCTACCTCTAGGGCCTACCCCCAGGCCTATCGTAGGCTTTCCCAAGGGCCTACCCCTAGGCCTACTCCTATACCTACCCCTACGGCCTACCCCTAGGTCTACTCCTAGGCCGATCCCTCAGGCCTAGCCCAGGTTTACCCTTAGGGCCTACTCTTGGCCTACCCCGGGGCTCATTCCTAGGGCTACCCTAGGCGTTGCCCCAGGGCTACCTCCAGGGCTGCCCTGGGCCTTGCCCCTAGCCCCGTAGAGGTTGGGCCCTTGGGTAGGCCCTACCCTTGCCCTAGCCTAGGCCCTTGGGTAGGCCCTGGCCCTAGCCCTACCCTAGGCCCTTGGGTAGGGCCTACCCTAGGCCCTTGAGTGGAGCCTACCCTGGGCCCTTGGGCAGGGCCTACCCAGGGCTACCGTAGGCTCTTAGGTAGGGCCCAGGGCCGCCTTCCGCCCGGGCGATCTATGTTGCTGCGGAACCATGGGGACGTCAAGTGTGGGCTCTTTTTTTTCGGCTCTCCCCCCTTCCTCCGCTTCTGGTCCCCCCCCACCACGGTGCTGCCCCTGGCCTGCTTGCTAATGGTGTACGTGGAGGCGGTCGCGGCGCTCGTTTCTCTAGGCGGTCTGCTCTTCTGCGACCCTGGAACGATCAGACGTTCTGCGGGTGCTCCCGAAAGGGCGGGCTGCACGTGCACGTTCACGGTCAGATGCCACGCGGGCACGCGTTATCTGTGTTCTGCACGAGTGGTGAGCGTTTGCAGCTGCGAGCGCAAAACAAGCGCTCCATGCGAAAGGAAGCGAGGATCCAGGTAGTGCTTGGGCAGGAATGCGTGCCACTTCAAGCAGGTGTGCTCGATTGTCCTGACATCATGCTATGTGCCAGCTCCCTGTTGGACCACCAGGTTCCATATACCGGTTGCAGGTACAGTCAGCACGGATAGTAAGGAAGGGTAATGTTCCCAAGGGTAATGTTGCATCTTTGTCTCCTCGGCCCATCATTGGCAAGCTTCGAGACGGCCTTCCAAGGCCCTTGCACCCTTATCGTTCATCCTTAATATACGGGTCGACGGTATTCACATCTCGGACTACACAGCGCAGCGGCCTTGTGGAACAATTACTCCTCGTAGGCCACTCCTCATCCTCCGCAGTTGCCCAGGGTGGCGTGGGACCTTTCCGCATGGACCTCCGCGCTAGTTTCCTTCTCCGTCCGTCCCCCCCCCCTTCCCCCGACACTTCGGTGGATTGTTCCTGCAGGAGGACGGGGGTGCGGCCGAGAAGAACGAGGCTGAGGAGAAGGAGCAGGAGGAGGAGCAAGAGGCAGACCAGTGTAAACCCAAGACCCATCAACGATGTTGGAATAAACCATCCCTCCAAGCTCCGTCTTCACAGGCCCCTACAAGGATCCATGTCCACTGAGGGGAGTGTCCCGTTGGGAGACACCCGTTTGAAGGTCCAGAAGGGCTCCACACCACCATTCCGGTGATTGCAACGCCACGAATCAATTTGATTGTTGTGCCTTCGCGGTCCTGAACCGTGCCAGAACATTGTTCATGGGACTTCAACACTGCGAATCAACGTAGCTGCTGCGCCCTGACAATTAGCAGTTCCTGGTTCATTAGCCGTGTGAGCCCGTGAAACTTCTGCAATTGTTCAAACGGGATCTGCGCGGCGCTAATCACGGCGAGAGCCACCTGTTGGAAAGGAACCGCCCTCACTCCGCGAAGCTTCTGCAACTCTTGAAAGCACATGTGCGCGGCGCTAAAGGCGAGAGCCGCATTTTGAAAAGCGCCCGCCTTTCAACACGTGAAACTCTTGCATATGCTCAAAACAGGTGTGCGCGGCGCTACCGCAAGAGCCACATGTTAAAGGAGCCGCCCTCAACCCATGAAGCTCTTTCAATGTTTGGCAACGGGTGTTCGCGGCGCCGCAGGCGAGAACCACATGTTGAAAACGACCCGCCCTCAATCCGCGAAACTCTCTACAAGTGTTTGACACGAATGTGCGCGGCGCCCAGGCGAGCGCCACATTTTGGAAGCGGTCCGCCCTTCATCTGTAAAACGGTTGTCGCTTTCTCAGTTTCAGGGGATTCTCAGGCGAAGTGCCTGGCCCGCCCTCCCGATCGGGAGGAGTTGTTGGTTTGGGAAAAGAATGGAGGAGAAGGGAGAAGAGGTGGAGAAGCAGGAGCAGGAGCAGGGAGATGAGGAGAAGGACGAGGACGAGGAAGAGGAGCCCAAGAAGGAGGAGGAGGAGGAGGAGGAGGAGGAGGAGGAGGAGGAGGAGGAGGAGGAGGGAGAGGGCGACGATCAGGAAGACGAAGAGGAGGAGGGACGAAAGGGGAGCGGGAGGAAGCCGGGTAGGAGGGGCAGGCGGCCTTGGCAGAAAAGGGGGGGGGGGTGAGGGGCGGCCAGCCCAGGCCAGTGGGCGGTCTTCGGGGCCAGGGCGACGGGCGGCTTCTCAGAAGGCGCGAGGGCTTCTGAGAAGCCCCGCCACCTCCTGAGAAGGCCTGCCCTTTTCTCGCTTCCCTCCTTTGCTCCCCGCCGAGAGTACAGTCGGGGCGCTGAAGAAGGAACCCTTCTCGTTGGCGAGGGGCTCGGTGTTCCCTGATTGTTTTACAGTTTGCGCGGGGTTGTCCATGGGAAATCGGAGTTTAACTTATGGGAAATAGGGGCCTCGTTCCTTATTTAGGGTTCCTTGGGTCAACGCCCCGACTGTAGGCGGAGGATGGGGAGGCGGACAAGGGAGGAAGATATCCACCCTGGCGCGCGCCGCCCCCGCGCCGAAGGCTCCCAGGACAGGTGCTTCCCAGTGCCCCCAGCGGTGGCGGAGAAGCTCCGCTCCGGGGAGCTGGCCCAGGAGGCGCAGAGATCGGGGGCGCCGAAAGGGCAGGATTGGTTCAGGAAGGTGTCGTGGACTCCTCGTCGCCGAGCGCAGCTTCGATGCCCAGCCCTGCCAAGGAATGTTGTGTGTGTTTTTTTGCAATCGGGGGGCACTCTGCGACTCATGTCGGCGATAGTGCGTCGATTCCAGGCCGACCATTCCCTCCCTGAGCCAGACCCCCCTCCTTTTCCGGCTTCGCTCCAGGGTGCGGCCTCGTCGCACATTTCGGAGGATTTCGTAAGTCTTCAATGGATTTCGGAGGTCGCCTGGGATCTTTGGCTTGGCCGGGGGAGCCCGTGAGGGCCTTTGCCCAGGTGGGTGGACCAGGGTGCAGGGTAATTGTTGAGGTCTAGGAGGTGGAAGCATCCATTGCCCAGCCTCGGAGCAGAAGAGCACCGCTAGACGGGCAAAAGTTGCCAGCGAGTGCCATGGCTCTGTGGGCGCTGTCTCGGTTCCCCATCGCGAACTCATGGCCCGCGTTCTGCTCGATAATTGACAGGTTCGCGGCATGGTTATGTCAGTCTCCCGATGGACCCACAGATGCAGAGTAGTAATATGATGGCTTGATGCGTCGTGCTGCAGTATCGAGGGCTTTCCATGTGATCGCTGAACGTGTGTAGCTTCTTTTTGAGCGAACTCTAGGCGACTCTTTACCTCAATACTGAAACATGTACCCCTTTGACGCCGCATCGCGAACCTGTGGGGGTCCAAACCGGCAACTACGGTACGCTCCATGCTACCGAAGTGTTTCTACCCACCTCTCTGGACCAACGTGCACGTGCAGACGAAACCCGACCTCTGATATGCTTCTAGTCTCCAGCTGCGCACTCATCCTGTGCGGGCTCTGTTACGCTCCGTGGTCCGCACTCCCTACCCCGTCCCCACCCTGGCGTGGGCTGGCAGCGGAGTTGCCCCACAGCGGAAGGCGACCGTCCCACACCGTTCTGCCGAAGAGTGGCACCTCGAGCGTTGTTGCCGTTTCTGGGGAGCGGCAGGGTCCGCCCGCCTGGGCCGCCTCAGGCGGGCCGAAGGCAGCCACGGTATGCTCCGTGCCGAAAGCTCGCCAGGCGAAGAGCAGGCGCCCGCGCGACAACATCGTCGAGGGCGACCGCACGTACTGCATCCGGTGTCTGGTCTGGCGGGATCGTGGCGAGGACGCTCTCGCGGCGCGGGGGGGGGGGGGCGCAGGCGAGGGGCGCCAGGTCACACAGGGGCGGGGCTGATTCGGTAGGGCAACTGGGGGGGGGCAGTTTTTGGAGGATGGGCGGGATGATGAGGCAGGAGGGGGAGCAGGGGTGTCGTGGAGGGGGCGCGGGATGAGAGCGGGAGGTGGCGGAGCTGGAGGCGGAGGGGGAGGATTTCGACAGCGGCGAGGAGGAGGCACGAGAGGTGAGGGGAGGAGGGGAGTTGGAGGAGACAGTTGCGTCGAGTAGGGGATGGAGGGAGCAGGGGGATGAGGACGAGGAAGAGAAGAAAAGGGGAGAGTAGTCCGAGAAGGCACATGGTGAGGAGGAGAAAGGGGTGGGAGAAAGAGGAGGAGGAGGAGGAGAAGACGGAGGAGGATGAGGAGGCGGGGGAGGAGGAGGAGGAGGAGGATGGAGGGCGAGGATACGAGAGGGCGGAGTTGGAGGAGGAATGTAAGCAGAAGCAGGGGGCAACGCAGACATCTTGAGCGAGTCAGTGGGCCCCTGCCCGCTGTTTCGCATGTTCTCTCTCGGCATCGGAGGCAATGTCGGAGCAGCCCAGCATTTGGCCATATGCGTAAAGCACACGGCCGCCTTCCTGTGCGGAGGCGCCTCCCACGTAGGGCGAACACTACATGTCGGTCGTGCGAATCCGAATTGGGGAAGCACTAGACGTTTGCCGCAGCCCACCAGATCCTGACAGTTTTCGGCGCTTCCGCCCCGAAGAGCGCGGCCATCGCGGAGCCCACCGCGCACAAGATGTCACACGTTCTTGAGGGCGCAAATTCTGCGTAAAGAAAGTATGGGAAGCGACCGTGCGAGAGCAATGTGCTGCTCTCCCTCACGCGATGCGCGGCGCGCTTACCACCCACACAGTTTGCCCAGTCGTCGGCGAGGTGCTCATAATGCAGGGGGGGACACTTTTGCGATCGTGGAGCTTTTGGGCAGCAGTGCAGAGGCAACCGCTTTGGCGCCTTATCGGGGCGAGGTGGAGGAGTAGGAACATCGTAAGCAGTGGGAGTTGCGGCATGATGAGGTTGAGGGAAAGTGGGGGATGACGGCGTGCACACGTTTCTTCTATGTGATTGGAACAGCAACGCAGGATGCCGAATATAATGAAAAGAAGTTCGGGATCTCGCACGCTGTCGAGGTGGTCGCGTATCGAGTCCCTACAGACTTGCCCAGGTAGTTGCCAACATTCCTTGGAATCGATGTAATGTCCCATTGCTGAAGCACCTCGCGCTCAGTATCAATCACGTGGCAGAGTGGTTGGGGTGGAGGGGAGGAGGAATACGGACCAGCATGCAGAGGTTTATGAGGATGGAGGAGGTGAGGAATGAAGGAGGATGCGGGAGAACGGGGGGGCTAAGGGGACGTGTATGCAGGAGCGGGAGCGGCAGCTGCGGCAGCACCGACGGTAGGATGTTAACTCGGGGGGCTCCTATTGGCACTGTCGCGGGTGCAAGCCTGGGCTGCCTGTACGCACGCTGCCTTGGAGGGGCCCTCGGATGATGCTTCTACGGTGTGTTCGCGCCGCGTTTGGCGCGGTTGCGACCCCAGCGCGGGCGTTCAAGTTCGAGCGCCTCCAGTGGCGCGGCATCGACCGATGCTCAACCACTTGCGCCACCCGAGCGCCCAGATCGTCAGGGCGTCGTCGCGTCGCGAGCCTGCCGCCTGTTGCACGACAGTCCACATTTATCCACAGTGGGATTCAGCACCCAGCCCCAGGCAGGTGACGTCCTCCTGTCGCACGGGGCGAGTCTGTTTGAGGACGCGGGCGTGACAGGAGTGGAGGACAGGGCAGTCACCTCAGCGGTGGGTTGCAGCCGCGTGCGTGGAGCGCATAACCGAGCATGTCCAGCTTCGCCGCGACAGGACCCTGCGTGCAGCTCTGTCGGACGATGTCCTGGGAATATTTGCGAAGGCCGCCGTGCTCATCCCCTCCTCCTCCCCCTCCTCCTCCTCCTCCTCCTCCCCCTCCTCCTCCCCCTCCTCCTCCTCTCGGTCAGCCAGTATTATGTCTACTGCGTCCTCCCAGGCACCGTCGTTGATCGCGTTTGACTTTGCCCAGGCCTTCCCGTCGGTATCCCAGGAGTGGCTATTCCAATGTCTCGCCCGACTCCGTATTCCTGCCCCTCTGGTCCGCGCTCTTCGCTCCCTCTACCACTGCACTCCATGCTACTTCGTCGGCGACTCTCCGACGTACCTATACCACATGAACTCAGGGGTGCTACAGGGCTGTCCGCTGAGTGGTTCGCTCTATGTGATCGCGAGCAACCCGTTCCTTCTGGACTTAGAACACTGTCTAGTTGCTCGTGGGCGTCTCTTGGGGGTGGTTCGTGCATGTGCGGATGATCTTGGGGCAGTCCTCTTCCACAACAGAGCGTATCCACGCTTGGCTCGAGTATTCCGACATGCTTCGAGGTTTGCTCAGCTACGACTTAAGCCTGCCAAATGCAATGTGATTCCTCTTCGTGACCCGTCTATGCCTGAGCACGGAACCCTACTTCGACACCAACTTGTGGGCGCCGACCCAGCCTGGGCAGACTTTGCGATTGTTTCAGAGTGTACGTATCTTGGATTTCAGATTGGGCCTGGAGCCACTGATGATAGTCAATGGTCAACTCCTGTCCTCAAGCATGCCACTCGTGCTACGGCAATTTCTTCGCAGGGTGCAGCTCTCTCCACGGCTGCCGCTCTTTATCGTCAGAGAGCCGCTCCAACGCTGTCGTACGTGGCCCAGCTGGTTCCCCTTTCGTGGAGGGTTGGGCAACAGCAGCGCTTTCTACTGGCTCGCATCATGCGCGCACCCGCTAGTATGCTCCGAACTGGTGACTGCTTCGCGCTAAGCACAATGAATGGCCCGAAGTTCAGCTCTGTCTTCTGCGTTGCTGCTGCCGCACGGCTTCGAGCAGCTCTGATCACATGTTCGACATGGCGCGAGCAGCTACAGCGACATCGGGATCTCCTTTGGGAATATGGCACGTTCTCCCAGGCTACCAGTGACGTCTTGGCCCCGAGCTTTTGGAGGGCACCACCGTTTGCTTGCCGCTTGGAAGAGGCAGCGAGGGGCTTCCCATCGTCCCAAGTGCTGAAAGAGGGAGGGCGAATGGCATTGAGTCTATGGGAAGGCGGCGACTCGTCCGTCCCCGCAGAGGTGATCGAGTTCTTCCGAGCTGAACCCAATCCTTGCCCGCTTCCATGGAGCCTCGCCCGTCGCGTTCCAGAGCCAGTTGAGGGACAGGGACTCCTACGTTCCCGAGCACCCAAGTGGCAGGCGGCTTTCACCGACATCTTCCAGCGTGCAGTCTTCCCCGACAGACTTCTTGAGCTGCTCTCCGCCCGCGTGCAGAAGCACTTTGGTATTCAGGATGTGTGCTGGCCATCTGTCCTCAGCCAATTGCAGCTAATGCCCGCATCTTGGGCCTTCATATGTGTGAGGTCGTACCTTGGGGGTTGGATCACTCACCGACGTATGCAACGTGAGGCATGGTGTATCTATGGTTGTGGCGGCCCAGACACTATGCGACATTATTTGACGGAGTGCCATCGGTGCCTACACTTCGGCGCCCTCACTCTTCGAGAAGATCTCCCAGGTGAGATTCGGCATCGACTTGGACTGGGGGGGCCGACTCCTGCCGCTCTCATCGCCTGCTACCACCACTATCGGCTGATGGCGGCACGGCACAGCTCCCCGCCTACGTACAGGAGGGCGCTGGAGCTCGTCCCTGCTGCGCAGATCGCGGTGAGGCTCCCTCTTCGTGGTCGACAGCAGTTGGCACTTCTTCGTCGTCCCACTCTTCGTGAGTCCATCGAGGCGGCCCGCGGAGACCTTGAGGAGGACGGCCCATCGTGTGAGGCTCGGGGCTCTGAAGCAATAGGTCTTCCATGGCTGGTGTCGCCTCACCCACCTCTCTCTCCGATCCCTCATGATCCCCCCTCTTGGCTCGGACTCAGTCGAGAGGACGAGCTCGTCGAATTTCGTTTCGTTGATTATGAAATGCCCCGAGACCCGAGTAAGGTCAGGGTAATCACTGCCGAAGAGCAGGCATTGTATGCAAGCGGGCCTCAAACTCAGGCGCCGTCTGAATCGAGTCCTCTCCTCCCTTGTTCCCCTCGCCCCGATGAGGCCTCGCCCCTGCTCCACCTCACCCTCTTCCAACTCGTGGATTATGACATGCCCCGCAACAACGCTGCGGTCAAGGTGCTGTCTGCCGAGGAGCAGGCCTCCCTCTCAGGCCCGCGCTGCGTACTCTCGCAAGGAGAGGGGCAAGGAGGGCAGTGCAGATTCGGGTAGTTCGGGATGCGAGACTCCTTCAGCTACGCTCCGCCTCCCCCTCCTCCTCCTCCTCCTCCTCCTCCTGCAGAGGGGCATGCCCGACGTACTCTCTCCCGTCCGCTCTTCGATGCACTTGGAGAGTCTGCTCTCTAACGGTTTGCTTCCAAGCTCTTGTTTCCTCGTCTTCTTGTCAGAGTGCGAGGAGGGCGGGGACGGAACGGAGAGAGAGTGGGGGGGAAGATGGATCGGGGGGGAGGATATTCGCGCGTAGCCCCAATTTCTTACCATATGCCTTTTCGCCCTCCCCTCTTTTCAGTCTATCGCCCATCCCACCCAGCCGATCCTTTCCATTACAGTCCTCCTGCCGGCCGAACTCGTACTAGATTGACTGTTCGTTCGAGTGCCTCTAGTACTCGAGCTTTCATCTGACCCTCCCCGTCCTCCAGTTCGCGCTCCCTTTCCGAGACAGGCTCATCACCTCCCGTGGCTTGAATGACTGGGTGGTGTATCATCGCCCTATTCTGAGGGCTGCCAATGTGGCGGTATTGGGGCTGGGGGGCTGGGGAGGAGGATGAGATATCGGAGGAAGATATATAACCGGAGGAGGAGGAGGAGGAGGAGGAGGAGCAGAAGGAGGAGGGAAGGAGGAGGGGGAGGGGGAGGAGGACAAGCTAGGTGCGCTCGCGTCATATCTGACGTCCTACCCCTCCCTCCCATCCCTTACCATGGCGCTGATTTTCTCTATCCGCGGACGCGTGTCGTAGCGGACCTGTGGCTCCGCGCGCGCGTGCGTAGTGGGTGGTGGTGCACGTGCGTGCGTGCGTGCGTGTGTGCGTGGTTGTCGTGGTGGTGGTGGTGGTGGTGGTAGTGGTGGTGGTGGTGGTGGTGGTGGTGGTGGTGGGTGATGGTGCTGGTGCTGGTGGTGCTGGTGGTGCTGGTGCTGGTGCTGGTGGTGGTGTGGTGGTGTGGTGGTGGTGGTGGTGGTGGTGGTGGTGGTGGTGGTGGCGGTGCGGCGCGGTGGTGGCGGGCGGATGGGCGCGCGAGAAAAAGGCCCGCGCTGGGGCGAGAACGCCATCCTGAACGACGGAGGCCAAACACCAATCCGAAAATGAGGCCCACGCTGCAGCGGGAGCACGATTCGGAACGATTCGGGAGCAGAAATGAGGCCGGCGCCTCAACGAGAGCAGCATTTTGGGAAAAAATGACGCCGGCGCCTCAGCGAGAGTCGTTTCCCGGGATTTCCCGGGCATCCTGTGTGTAAAAAAACAGTACGCGGAGGGTGCGCGGCCATCACCCGGACGCCATCAGGGGAAGAGGGAGAGTATTTTCATATTGAGTAATTGAGGAGGAGGAGGAGGAGGAGGAGGAGGAGGAAGGAGGAGGAGGGGAGGAGGAGGAGGAGGAGGAGGGGGGAGGAGGTGGAGCTGTGGGACGACGAGAAGCCGTCTCGTCGTCCCGCAGCTCCTCCTCGGAGCAGGAGGGGGAGGGGGGGGGGGGGGGGGCGCTTGTGGCTTGCCCGTCGGTCCAGGGAGAGGAGGCGCTCGCCTTCCCGGCAGGCCCCCGCCTGGAGGGCCGCCCCGGGCGGCGGGCCCCCAAGTGGTCGGGCAGCAGTCGGCCCCCTGCACGGAGGAGGGCGGCGAGGACGAGGATGCGGATCGATCCCCCCGCAAGATGAGCAAACCGAGGGTGTCTGTAATTTGCAGAAAAGTAAAGTTAACATGGGGGGGCGGGGGATGGGGGGGGAGGCAGAAGGGGGGAGGCAGAAGGGGGAGGGGGAGATAATAGAGGGTGGGGAGGGGGGGAAGGGGGGGGGGAGGGCCCCCTGCACGGAGGAGGGCGGCGAGGACGAGGATGCGGAGCAGGGAGAGGGCTCCGCGGGCGGGCGGGCCCGCCGGGGCCTGGCGCGCGGCCGCAAGGGGGCAGCGAGCGAGCTGCCCAGGGGGCCCGCTCGGGGCATCGGATTCCCGCGGGGCCTCGGCCTTCCCGTGCGCTGCACGGTCGTTGAGTCACGTTGAGCAGGGGGTCGCAGCGTCGAAACGCTTCGCCCCTCCTCCTCCTCCTCCTCCTCCTCCTCCTCCTCGTCCTCCTCCTCTTCCTCGCCCGCCGGGGCAACGGGTGGACGCAGAAGTTCGACCCTGGCGGTTCCCGAGACTCTCACTTCTTGCACGTCCTCTGCTTCCGCCTCTTGTCTCACTTCGGTGGCAAAGACACGGCGCCTGCACGCTGAGCTGTCAGTCTCACAGGATGGTTACGGATCCGCACTGGCGTGCGCCGTCCTCACACGCACTCTTCCTCGCCCTCCCGGACCCCGCCGTGGCTCGAGCCGGTGCAGGGTAATCCCGCGGAGCCTGCCCGACTTACCGTACGATCTAAAACGTTGAGAGCAATGGCGGGCTTCTGCGGCCTCGCGCGCCCTCTGCTCGTGGCCCTGCTCGCCGCGGCGGTGGTCCGCCCCTCCTGGGGGAGCTTCGGACTGGATGTCTTCGAGGACGACATGAGCTTCGTGCAAACCTCCGCGGTGGTCTCCACGGGCAGCCAGGTCGCAGGCGCCTCGGCCGCCCACGCGGGTTCCGAGCAGGTGGTGTCGGGGCATCCCGCCGCATCGGCGATGCCGCTCGATTCGGGGCCTGATTCTCTCCATTCCGAAGTCGCCGATTCACTGCTGGTGCATCGCCGATGCCGCTCGATGCTCCGACACCATCGACCCAGAACTCATATGGGCGGCCTCCGAGGCGTGCGCAAGGATCGCCATGAAGAAGAGGGTCCTGGAGCGAGGGGATCCTGGAGGGTTTTCGCTGTTCTTAGGTTCCCACAGGCTTTTCTGGGGGCCCAGGGCCATCAACACAGACGGGAGCCGGTCCAGGGGAAGGGTATCCGCTGAAGGCATTCGTAGAGTCGAAACCGATGTTCGGGATGGGCAACCTTTCCAAAGGCTCCCTTGCATCCTTTTACCAGCCTGGAACATATCCCTATCTCTATGTTGGGCTTCGCCTCATCACGATAGCGATCTTAGGGATCTCCTCAGTTTCTGAGGGTGTATCCCTAAGATTGGCATCACCTTTTGGCGTGTCAATCTTAGGGATAGGGATACGTTCGAGGCTGGTAAACCTTTCCAAAGGCCCCCTTGCGTCCTTGCCTCCTCGGTCCATCCTCAGTCCCTTTCGACGGCCAGCCCCGCTCGAAGGGCCTCGGCATGGGCGCCCACGGGGCTTGCATCCCTGTCGCGCATCCTTGCTATCAGTCTTGATTTTACCAGCCTGGAACATATCCCTATCCCTATGCTGGGCACCTCCTCATCACGATGCCAATCTTAGGGATTCCTTTATTTTTTGAGGGCGAATCCCTAAGATTGTCATCGCCTTTTCGCGTGTCAATCTTAGGGATAGGGATACGTTCGAGGCTGGTAATGATTGTGCACCACCATGCCTGGCCAGGGCCGTCTCGCGCTTAGGTTTTAGGGTTGTGTAGAGTTTCGTGGCCTCGGCCTGGAGGGCGTGCACACCATGTCAGGGCCCAGGATGGCCTTGGCCAGTCACGGTGCTGACGTAGATGTGCCTTCTGCGCCAAGGAATGCCGGGCGGATCACTCGGTGCACGAGGAAGGGGGAGACTCCGGCGACATCGACCTGGTGGGCTTCATGCAGATGTCGGTGCAGGTCACAGCACGCCCCTCGGATGCGTCGGAAGACGATGCCCACTTCGACGCGTTCACACTGTGAGAGCCCCGGAGACGACAATGCTTGGATGGGCTTGGAATGCCTCGCGCTGACGAACCAGTGAAAGTGACCTCACAGTGACCCAAGCCCTTTCCTCCCTCCTTCGTCTTTCGTCCCTGCTCGTTCTTGTTTGTTGCCTGCTTATCCTCCTCCCTCATCCTCCGTCCTCCGCTGTCTCATGCTCCTCATCCTCGTTGCTGCTCAATCTCTTACTCCTGCTCCCTCCTCCATCCCCCGCCATCCCCTTGTGCCCCCACGAGGACGATGAGGAGGCAGGGAGGAGTGCAACTGCGGAGCTTCTCCTCCCCGACACGGGGCTGCGAGTGCACGAGACGAGGAGTGTGGAGGAGGATGGCGAGATGGTCGGGAGGGGCAGGATGGTAAGGCGGCCTCGGAGATCCGAGCGGTATTGGAGCAGGTCGAGCAGGGGTGGGCGGGAACGATGATCACCCTCCTGGTGCGGTGTGCGTGTGTGTGTGCGTGTGGTTTCTGCAGGTTGCTGTCTGGCTTGTAGAATGACACTGCTGGCTTGCAGGCACCCCGGGGGCGCCCCGATGCTACAGACTGCGCCGACTGCGTGCCCCAGGGGGCCAGGGGGGCGCGTGGAGTCTACAGCTCCCGCTGTTCTGTATACGCTCTCGTCCTTGGGGGGTGTGTGGGGTCTGCAGATTGCTGTCCGATCTGGGCGCTGCGTGGTTTTCACAGATCACTGCCTGATCTGTAGACTCCGCTTGCCTCCCGAGGACGGAGGGGGGGTATACAGGATGGCGGACTCTGTAGAGTCCACGGGTTGCCTTTGGGTGCCCCGGGGGGCGCCCCTCCCCGTGCACACTGGATCCGCCTGAGGGGGCCCTCGCCCAGAGGGGGAAACAGATTCTACAAGTCGTCCTGCCCCCCCGAGCCCCTCAGGCCTCAGGGTGACCGAGGGAGGGGTCCTCGGCAGGGCGCCGCGTTTGTCCAGTCGCGATGAGGCCCACAGGGGAGGGGGAGGGGGGGGGAGGTAGAGGGGGGCAACAAGAAGCAGGGGCAGGTGCGGGATATGAGGTTGGAGAGGGGGACGTATCCCCTCCCCCTCTCCCGTGGTTGTCGTCATCCTCCTGGCCCCCCACCCGCTTTCCTCTTCGCTCGTTCGCTAGCCTGTTCGCCCTCTCTCCGATCTCCGCCCACTGCCCCCCGCCCCGCCCTGGGCCTCCTCATCCATGGCCATTGTCGCTCCTGGCTGCCTTGCAGGGCTCGGTGTTCTGGCGGGGCCACTTGGGGCGCCAGAGGGGTCCCCGGGGGCGCAGTGCGGGTGCGTCGCGTTGCTCTGGGGCGTCCTAGTCCCTCAGGTCGACCGCCCCCTGGATGCGCGCCCCATCCGATCACGGTCCCCAGCGGATCATCCATGCGCCCCATTTGCGCCCTTCGGAAGCTAAGCAAGCAACAGTTATAACAATCACAATAGCAAGATCGACAATACGACTAGAAATCACACTACGGTTTTACGTTTTAGTGCTAATCACACTCATACTCGTAATACGAATAACAATAATAATACTAACCCTACTAAGGATAACAAATCATGATGATGCTGATGATGCTGATGATGATGCTGATGATGATGATGCTGATGATGATGCTGATGCTGATTGTGATGATGCTGATGATTATTGTTATGATGCTGGTGATGGTGATGATGATGCAGATGATGGTGATGGTGATGATGATGCAGATGATGCTGATGATGATAATTCTGCTGACGTTCCCTCCAGGATAAGCTGACGCTGGCTGCCAGCGAACGCCCGTCGCTGCCCGCCGCGGCGCTATTCCACAGAACACCTCTTCCTGTAGACTGGGGCGCCCGGGAGAGCCGTGCGAGCATCCAAGCCGTGCGTGCCGGGGCTCCAGCCGTGGCCTCTGACCGACCTCCCTCCGCGGGCAGCCACCGCAGGGCAGCCAAGTCTTCGGGATGTTCGTAAGTCGGGCATGTCCTTCTGCAGGAGGAATATCTAACAGCAGTCCAAACTGAGTCTGGGAACGATTTTCCTACTACTTTTGACCATTCTGACCATTTTGAGTCTTTCTGTGCCTTTTAGATGTTCGCCCCGAATCCGCCTGTAGGAGGACACGCCCGACCGAAGGGTATTCAGAGCCGTGGATCCAGCGGCACTCGAAGCACGCCGGCGCCAGCCGGAGAGTGTGGCCGAGTTCCGTCGCCCCCCCCCCCCCCCGGTATTGGAGTCCAGCGGTTTGGATGGAACGCGCCAGGTTCGGTCAGAAGCGGGAGACAAGGAAGGGGCTGGCACTTCCAGACTTCCGACGGTGCGATTTCTTCACAGCGTGGCCGAAAATGGCGCAGCGCCTTCCGTCGCTGTCTTCCCACTGCGAGAGGAGGTCTGGGCACCTCCTTCACGCCGCTTTGCGCTTCTCCGAGCTCCGCCCGCGCCGGTCCCCCCCCCCCCCTGCGCACATACGTTGGCTCGAGGATGTGCTCCAGATGTTCTGTCCATGGTGCCGCCGGGCAGGCCTGGGAAGCCGCTGCAGAGCGCTCGTGAACGGCACGCATCGTATGATACGTGTTTGAAGGGGCCCCAGGACACACAGATAAATACACACAAGTAAAACTATTCCCCATCTGTTCCTATATTTTCTGGGTTTTGGTCTTCCCCACCCCACTTCCCATATTTTCCCATGTTTTCCTGGGGGTCGACGATTAATTGTGTCTGTGTGTTTTTTCCCCTCCTGAGTGTTCCAGCCCCGCTAGTTTTCAACGATTTCCGACGAGTCGTGCCCGGCCTGGTTGTTGGCTCCAATGTCATCTTTGCAGGCGAGCCTTCCTCGCCAAGCTTCGCTTCCCCACGCCGCGGAGGTGTGGGCTTCCACCACTGTTCCACCTGCCAGCGCTGCGTGGAGGATTTCGATCACCACTGCATGGTGTTCGGGAGGTGCATTGCAGGCGCGGTGGGAGGGACCATGCATACAGGCGGAGATGATTACGATGTGGAGACGGAGGAGAGGGCACGGGACCTCTGCGTCTGGTCGAGCAGCCCTGAAATGGGGGGGTGGAGGAGCCGTGCTGCGAAAGGAGTCGTCGGGGCAGAGGCGAGGAGCGCAGAAGCCGCGGCGCAGAGCGGCGGAGGAGGGGGAGGAGCTGCCAGGGTGGGCAGGCCAGGAGGCCCAGCAGGCCCGCGCGGGAAGCTGGCGTGCCGCCTCCCTTTCCCCCTCGCGTCTCTAGCACCCTCGGGGCCCCAGAGACTCCTCCTCCTCCTCCTCCTCCTCCTCCTCCTCCTCCTCCTCCTCCTCCCTCCTCCCTCCTCCCTCCTCCCTCCTCCCTCCTCCCTCCTCAGAGACTGCCGACTTCCCCTGAGGGTGGAGGCGACATAGTTCAAACGAGGGGCAGCGGAGGTCGAGAAGCAGCGGGCAGAAGAGTCGAGGAGGGAACGAAGCAGAGCCGCAGGGGAGCAGCCAGCGGTCGCAAGGGAGCGGCCAGCGGATCGCGCGGGCACCTGACCCTCGCTCTTGTTGTGCAGGGGACTGGCTGGCATTAAGAGGTAGGGGGTACGAGGAGGAGGAGGAGGAGGAGGAGGAGGAGGAGGAGGAGGAGACGGATATATTGATTGATGACATTGCGGAGGGCCCGGGCGCTGCAGTACACCGCCGTCAGCATATCATGCAGCAGCACGCCCAGGTCAGAGATCAGGCAGCTATGTTACCCTACCGCTGCAGCAGAGGACCGCGAGAGGGCGTCACATGCAGAGCCCCCCCCCCCCTTCCAGGCGTTACGCTGCCCCCCCGCGCCCCAGTTGGGATGCGCCACTGTGACAGGAGGACCCCTCCCCCACCAGGGTGCAGGCCAGTGATGCCGACAGGTCAAGCTAGGGCACTCTCGAACACATTACTTCGGACAGAAGAACCCACTCTGCGATGACAGACCTTTCGCCCATCACTTGAGCGCCTTCATACACGCCTTGGAAGGATGAGGCAAGAGGAGGAGGACGAGGTGGAGGAGGAGGAGCAGGAGGAGGAGGAGGAGGAGGAGGGAGAGGGGGCGGATTGAATGTCGCTTCCGCAGGCCGGGGCTTTTCTGGAAACATGGGCTTCTTCAAGACGCTGATAGGGGCCGGGTACTCTGGAGGGCCGACATGCTTTCTGACCTTGGTCGGCGCGTTTTTCTGCCACTCCCGAGACTGCGTGACGATGTACATCACGCTAGGCGGCTCGTCGCGCATGGGGGCCTCTTTTGTCTAAGGCCGAAGACTCCACAACGCATTCTTCATCATCTCGCACTGCCTACTCGGAGCTACAAGTTGGGCATCTCCTGTTTGGGATACAGACGACCTTTCGAGTCTACCGTCCTGCGCTGACTACACCTCTCCCTGCGTTCCCGGTGCACGATCGGCAGTTCAAGGAACAGGAAGCGTTGTCGAATGGGTTCCCAGGTGTCGGTGTCATTGCAAAGACACTACCTCTCTACGATCCTTTTTGTTATACGCGTTTGCTCGTGTCTTTGCACGATTCGAGATCACGCCAACGGTGCAAGACGCTGCTGGGTCTGCCGATTCATCTTGGTTCGCCCCGCGAGGTCAGCCTAATTACACATTTCTACTCCCATCACCAGACCTGGAAATGTCCGTGACTGCACGTTGAGGCACGATAATCGGCGAAGACGGTTATTGCGACGGCGTCAAACGCAGAGTAACTAGGCAATCTGCGTATAGCCAGGCGTCCCGACCGACATTAGTTGTCGATGTTTGGTGGTCGCCCCTCGATGTCCCCCGGCGAGCTCTCTGTCGGCTCCGCCAAACCGATCAGACGCATGAATAATTGCCTTTCGATTGCGCCCAGGAAATCAGAGGCGTCCGGCCACGCGACACTGGACCCGTCGTCCGAGTATTCCTGCGGGGTTCCCCCGTAAGTGCTGCCGAGATGGAAAGGCAGCCTCCTTTGCCGTCGGTCTCGATCTCCCACGCGGCCTTCGCTTCCTTCCAAGTCTTGCTTCTGGGAGAGGCAACCGTCATGGAGAGGGGTCGTGCGGCGCGCGCTCGCCTTCGAGGGATTGGAAAGCTGCGACTTCTTCATCGGCGGAAGGGCTGGCGGAAGCCGGAGGAAGCAAGGCTTCGTGCTTGTTGTGCTCCCCAGGTCTCAGCATGGGGCTCTGGCCATACGTTCGACGCCTCCGACTCTTCGCCTAAAGCTTGCTCCGGCTTTGAGTTCCTTTCTTCCACCTCCACTCAGACTCACTTACACGCAGACCCAATCACACTCTCAGACTCACTCACACTCAGACTTACTCGCAGTCATATTCAGTCATACTCAGACTCACTCATACGCAGACTCAGACTCATTCACTTACAGACTCACTCACATTCAGAGTCACTCACACTCAGGGTCACTGACACTCAGACTCAGTCACACTTGGATTTGCGACGCACTCGCACTCAGACTCGCAGCGAGGCGCTGGCTTCAGCACCCCAAGGGAGAGCCGCCAGGGATGATTGCACGGACCCTTTCACGCCCAGACAGTGTGGATGTCTCAGGCGGTTTGCTTCTTTGGTTTGGTTGGCCTCCTCTGCTTTCGGAGCAGAGTATAAGGATGTCTCGAGCGAGGCGCTGGGTCCGGCTGGTGGCCCTCCCCTGTTCGCGCCCAGATTGTGGGGATGTCTTCGGCGGTTTGCCACTTTGGTTGTCTGGCACCCCCCTGGTTTCAGAGCAGACTGTGAGGATGCCTCGAGCGAGGCGTTGGCCCCAGCGCACCAAGGGGGAGCCGCCAGGGGTGCTTGCAGGGCCCCGTTCGCGCCCAGATTGCGGCCACATCTCAGCCGGTTTGCCCGTTTGGCTGCCGCGAGTCCAGTGCTTTTACAGCAGAGTTTGAGTCTGTCTCGAGCGGGGCCCTGGGAGCCGAAGAGGAGGAGAAGGAGGACGAGGAGGAGGAGGACGAGGGGGAGGAGGAGGAGGAGGAGGAGGAGGAGGAGGAGGAGGAGGAGGAGGAGGAGGAGGAGAGGAGGAAGGACGAGGAGCAGGAGGAGGAGGAGGAGGAGGAGGAGGATGGAGGAGGAAGGAGGAGGAGGAGGAGGAGGAGGAGGAGGAGGAGGAGAGAGGAGGAGGAGGAGGAGGAGGAGAGGAGGAGAGGAGGAGGAGGAGGAGGAGGAGGAGGAGGAGGAGGAGGAGGGGAGGAGGAGGAGGAGGAGGAGGAGGAGCAGGAGGAGGAGGAGAAGGAGGAGGAGGAGGGAGGAGGAGGAGGCGGCAGGGTGGCCTGGAGTGAGGGATGAAGGAAGAGGAGCAGGGAGGGAGGGAGGAGGTGGGAGGACGAGGGAGGGGGAGGGGGGTGGCAAGAGGAGGGAAGAGGAGGAGGAGGAAGAGGAGGAGGTGGAGGAGGAGAAGGAGGAGGACGGCAGGGTTGCCTGGAGGGAAGGATGAAGGGAGAGGAGCAGGGAGGGAGAGAGGAGGTGGGAGGACGAGGGAGGGGGAAAGAGATGGCAAGAGGAGGGAAGAGGAGAAAGAGGAGAAAGAGGAGGAGGAAGAGGAGGAGGGGGAGGAGGAGGACAAGGAGGACGGCAGGGCGGCCTGGAGGAAGGATGAAGGGAGAGGAGCAGGGAGGGGGGGCGGACGAGGGAGGGAGAGGGAGGGGGCAAGAGGAGGGAAGACTAGGAGGAGGAAGAGGAGGAGGAGGAGGAGGACGAGGGGGGGGAGATGTTGGGAAGGAGGGAGGAGGAGGACGAACGAGGAGGCTGCTATGTGGCCACGAAAAGGAAGAGGGATGAGGGGGGATGACCGAGGGCTCTCCATCCTCCTCATCCTTCTCCTCTTTCTTATCCTCCTTATGTCCTCTGGTTGTTCCCCCTCCTCCTCGTCATCTTTTGTATATTCCCTGTGCCTTATTTCTTGCAGTTCAAGCCGCGCCACTGCGGATTTCGAGAAACGCCCCTCCATGGCTCTCGACGCTCTTTTTGCCCCACCTTCATCCTTCATGTGTTCTTTACTTACCCCTCCTCCTGCGTACCCTCATTACTCACCATCTGCTCCCTCGCCACTCCTCCCTCTTGGCTCCATCCTAGGATGCGCCTTCAGTTGCCAAGTCGCGGCGGGGAAGGCAACGGAAGAGGCCTGATCGCGGCCTGTCTGTGAGTCATCGTTGTCGTCTTCGTTGGACCTCACCGTGATCGTCGCTGTCGCCGTACCCATCGTCCGCTCGGACGTTCCCGCACCTCGGACTCTTAGAGGCTCATTGACAGAGACCCGCAGCCATGTTATCAGTGAACTGGGATTCACGTATTGGGATCTCCGCGTCGAGGGAATTATTCAGGGTTGCCAGGGCTGGTCATGTGTAGGGGGGTCCACTCGGCACCCGCGTTGGTTCTGGGGCAGGACCCCCCTCCCCCGATGCTGATTTCGCTCCAATTAATTCCGGGTTGGCCTGCGGGCGGTTTGGATCCCCTGCGCTGATGTCCGTGGCCTGTGTTCCTCGCCCGCCTATCTCTGTGCCTTCATGCCTCCACTGCTCTTCCTCACCACTGCTGCTGCTGCTCCTCTCTCTTCCCCCCTGTTGCTGCTGGTCCTCTTTGTCCTTCTCCTACTCTGCTTCCGTCAGCGTGCTAGTCCTTGCAAGCTGGCGTTGAACTTGCATCAAAGTTCGTTCTCTTGCCTCCACCCGCAGGCTGCTTTCTATGCTTACTGTGCGTGGAGGGGCGGGTGTGTCGCCATGTTGAGGTGGAGGCAGGGTCCGTCACGACATGCCAGTTTGCAGTGGAGATGGAGGTTGTGGGCGGCACACGGGCACGCGCATGCAGTCGGAGCCTGCCAGACCGACAGCTGGCCAGTCACACGTCGGCAATGGCGCTCGAGCAAGCTGCGCAGCAGCGCAGTAATGTCATCGTCGTATCGCAATTCCGTTTGTCGGGCCTTGGGGGCCCCGAAGGTTTCGTTCTGGGGTCCATGGGGCCGTCTGTGGTCTTCGGGCCGCCATCGGGTGTCTTAGGTCTGTATGGGGTTATGTTTTTGGGGCTGTCGTGGGTTTGTCGTGGGCCGTCCTGAAGCCATCTTGTGCCGGCCGTTGGCCATTTGGGAGCCGCATTGGGGGAGGCTTGGGCCGCCTTGGGGTCGTCTCGAGGAGTCATCGTAGACAGCCACGGCGCGCTCTAGAGCTGCCTAAAGGCCATGCAACGGTAACTGCATTGTCACAGCCTTCAGCCCTCCACGACGGTACAGCAAGGTCTTTCAACGAATCTCTTTGGGCTCCATAGTTTCCTCATATTCGTATCCTTGACGCTTACCTGAAAGCCTTTGAAGTCGCCGCTGAACATGTGATCTAGGGCCGTTTTGTTTGGTATTGGAGGCGTTGGTGCAGACGTTGGGGCGATTTGAGAAACCGTTGTCAGGAAAGTTTGGGGGCTATTTCAACGAGGGCGCACGCCTCTTGCCAGTGGCATTGGGTCGTCTCGATGCCGTTCGAGGCCCCCCCCCATGGCTCCTTGGGAGCCTTGGGGGATCCGAGGACGTGGCTGCTGATCCCGCTCGCAGTTCTCCTGCTACCTCCTGGCCCCTCCTTCCATTCCCCCTCCACATTCGATATGAGTACTCCTGCTCTCTCTCTCTCTCTCTCTCTCCGGATTCGGTGCCGACGTGGCGCCTTTTTCCCCACACAGTGTTTTTACCTAACATCGAAGACTGATAGGTTTCTAATGGTGTAAAAAGAGAGCAGCACATTACTCCACAGGGGGGTCTGGGCAGCCGTTGGGGGGCTGTTGGGGGCCGTTGGGGGGCCGTTGGGGTTTGCCGGGGGGGATCGTTTTTCGCATACAGTCACACACCTCGTGCTTTTCGACCTCCCAGAACTCCATTCCCGGGCCACATTCTGAATGCCCGGAGCCAACTGTACGCCACTTCGTGCTCTTCGACTTCCCAGAACTCCATTCCCGGGCCACATTTTGGATGCCCGGAGCCAACTGTAGGCCACTTCGTGCTCTTCGACTTCCCAGAACTCCATTCCCGGGCCACATTTTGGATGCCCGGAGCCAACTGTAGGCCACTTCGTGCTCTTCGAGTTCCCAGAACTCCATTCCCGGGCCACATTTTGAATGCCCGGAGCCAACTGTAGGCCACTTCGTGATCTTCGAGTTCCCAGAATCCATTCCTGGGCATGATTTTGAATGCCCGGAGCCAACTGTAGGCCACTTCGTGCCTTCGAGTTCCCAGAATTCCATTCCCGGGCCACATTTTGAATGCTGAGGCAGGCTGAGGCTGAGGCTGAG